TAGTTTCATGGCTGCAGTCTCCATCTGCGGTGGTCTTGGGGCCCAAATAAATGAAGTCTGTTACTGCTTCCATTTCTATCCCCTCTATTTGCCAAGAAGTAATGGGTCCAGATGCCATGATCTTAGTTTTTTTAATGTTGAGTTTCAAGCCAGCTTTCGCACTCTCCTCTTTGACTTTTATCAAGAGGCACTTAATTCTTCTTCACTTTCTGCCATTAGGGTGGTATCGTCTGCATATCTGAGGTTGTTGATGTTTCTCCCTGCAATCTTAATTCAAGCTTGTGATTCTTCCAGCCTAGCATTTCTCATGATGCACTCTGCATATAAGTTAAATAAGCTAGTCTAATTTTGTTGAGGAACTCCTAGGTAAAGAAAACAGTATAATGAACAGTCTATTTACATTTTAATTTATTCTATTATTAAGGCTCAGGGCTACTTACATCGTAAAGCCACAGTTGCATGTCTGGGTTATACAACTGTATTGTATACTCCTTGTAGTGCTATCCTTGAGAAACCTCTGGACAGGAGCCCAGGCATTACACAACAGAGTTATATCAGCTGCATTGGATTTTAGTTGTTTCCAGTCTAAATTCGAAGTGCCACTTCTTATCACTAAAAGTCTAAATAGTTTAGTTGATGGCTGGATACCTGATGAATTATATCCCTCTGCACAAATCTATTCATATGCTAAAGTCACCAGGAGAGGCTATGCCATGTAAGATGGGGACACATGATTAGATGCTGATGACAATGAGATTGAAATGAAGAAGCTTGCTAACCAGAGAGCTCAGTTCACCATATAATACATGTGTGAACATCAGAAAGGGCAGGTTCACCATACTGGTGATAAAGGAGATACCTTATGGCATTATAATATTTGTATGTTGAATTATAATATTCGTATGTTCTGCTTTTCTGGCTGATATTCTACAATTAATACTGTAATTCAATCACAAGAATATATCCTTAATTTTTCATAGGAATTTTATAAACATGCAAATAATAAAGACTATAGACTACTGTTCAAATTATGCTCCCAAATAATTCCAATGAAGTTCAAAAGAAGATTGTATTTATTTATTTATTTGATTTATATGGCTGTCTACCTCATATACAGGACTCTAGGTGGCCAACAATTAAAACAATACAAAAACAGAATAAAAACACCACCACGAGTTATAAACATAAATAACATAAAAATAGCAGCTAAGAAACTCATAGCAAGCTTCCCTTTATACTGCCATGCTGGTATGAAGAAGTACCATTTTGTTGAGAAAAAGGTCAAAATTTAAAAGTAAAAATAATTTAAAATGCATTTGTGTTGATGTACAAGCCCTATATCCCACCCTTGACAATGGAATATTGGGAAGATAGGCCAATAACCTTTCCAATATTTTTTACTGAACCATTGGCTACAACAGCAAGAAGTAAATGCTGCTTCTCAAAACCCAACACCTGTCATCTTGTTCACCCCTGATCTGGATTCTTGGATAAACAGTGTGATGACTAATTTGCTGAGGACAGAGAACGATTTGACCAACTTTAAAAGAGTAGACAAATTCACTTACAACTGACAGTGAAAACATTAAAGTGGTAGGTAGCTTCTGCCTTTAGAATCAAATGTCTACAGTAAAGGAACCAGCAGTCAAGAAATCTGCTGGCTATATTAATATTAACCCCCAAAATTCAAGTGGCTCTTAAAGAAGAATGGCAGCATATTTTGCTGAAAGAAATCCATATGGAAAGAAAAACCTAACAAGTATGCAATGCATTGTGACAGTTACTACAACTCATGCAGTCCATCTAATGAAGAGCTATCACTACTGAAATATCAGTGAACAGAAGCAAAAAGCAGGATTCTGAAAAAATCTGGAGGTTGAGTCATGACAGCTGGACTTCTTTTCTTTTGGTTTGATACGTATCCAGTTGGCATCCAGATAATTCCACCTGGATGACTGAGAATCTTCATCAACAGATTCTGAAAAAACTTTAGAAGTCCAAATAGCCATATGAGAACTTAATGTTAAAAGACATAGAACTAGGATAGTAATTTAGGATTTTTAAGTTTAAGTAGAAAAAAGAAACCGCAGAAATTACAGCTCTGAATTCCCTATTTAGAAGACTTAGAAATGCTCAAAATTCCTGTATGTCCTTCACTAAGTGATTTGAATGAATAAAATGTTCACTTAAAATTACTGTTGTTTTCAGGTAACGTATCATAGAACATAAGGATACTTAAATTTTGTCAACAGAAAATTAAGGTTCTGAATGGGTGCTGAATGGACAGCTCCTTTGGTGACAACATTATAAAACAGTTGCTAAAAGAAGCAGAATCAAAGTATTCTCAACAGCAATCTGAAGCATATGATTTTTATAGAGTAAATAGCCTTTAATAATTACTGTAATTCATAAATTATATAGAATTTTTTTTAAAAAATGGTTAAGAGAAGAGCTATCTCCCTTACTATTCATTCATGTAACAAAAAGCAGGGGAATTCAAAGTTAAAAGTCTTTAACTTTTATCCCATATAAGTCATGAAGATGTTTTATCATTTAACAAATTTACTTCTGTTTAGACCATGTATGTGTATGTATGTATGTATGTATACGCGCGCGCACACACACAGATGTATATGTATATTTAGGGACATACAGACTTTACTCCCAATACCATAGTGTTCTCAGCTGTATAATACTGGTTAAGAAAAAAAGGCAATATAAAGAATATACCCTTGTAACAGACTGAATGACAAAGGCTACTCAGTGCAATTCCATAAGCATCAAAACTGCCTTCATGCCAAATCATCCTGTATGGCTATGCTAAATTCTCCAGCTTTTATCATTTGGTTGTGTTTTCCATCAATTATATTACTAAGGTAGAGATTTAAGCTCCTGTATTTTCCTTGTTTGGGTAGTCACAAAGAGTCTGGAAACCAAATACTTATTTCTGAGTAGACTTTTGATAGCATTTCTGTAGAAGAAAAGAACAGCAAGATTATACTGCATCAGAAAGTATTGTTTAAATATAACTTAAGGAAATACACAAGTGGTGTAAGAAGGGACATTATTTATGGAGCTTGGCTTCTATGCTCTTATTTTATATTATGTATTTTATTATTTTTATCTGTTTTATAAGCCACCCAGATTATAAGCCATCCAACCTTATGTGAGTTGGATGGCTATATAAATAAATGAATAAAATTCCTGTAACTTAACTTTCATCAGTTGCAGCCAGGTCAATTTTAAATATGCAAGAACTGAATGGCTACAACGGAAAACAGATGGCTTTATACCACTGGAAAAGGCTACATATAAGATTCTATTTTTTTCCCTAACACATATTGCCCTTTAATTATACCTTGCATGTGTCCATTCAATTATAATGCTACTACTAACTGCTCTTAAAGCGGCACTGATGGAAAATCTGTGCATGTCCTTTCCTACAGCAAGGGAAAGGGAGAGGGAAGAAGATATGGGTTTTACTTATTGCTTTTTTCTTTAGGACAAGATGCATCTCAAAAACAAAATGAGGCAGCAGTGTTAAAAATTAATGTACAGTCTCCTTTTTCAGATTATTCTGTTTTTTTCTTGTGAGATGGAAATACATTTCCCATATACTGTATTTTTTAATCTCTATTTTTTCATGCAAATGTTTAAGCCATAAGAATAAATTAATTTGCAAAATCAGAATTTCAAAAGGAAAGAAAAATGCCAGGTCTAGCATTCTCTTGCAAACATCTTGATTTGGGCAATAAAGTACAATAATAATCAAAAATTATTAACAATTCCATACCAGACAAGCTACAACTTTGTACTGATCTGTAATGCTAACACAACACATTTCAATTCCTCTGTGGCCACCTGTTTACAAGCAAAATAGTACAAAAGTAGTCTGACAGAAAACTTCATGAAACAAAAATCCAGATGAAGAACATAATGGCCCTCTGGTGTAGATTCTAAGCAGAGTGAGCAAAAAACTGGACTGTTTGTGTGTTGAGACAGTAAAACCAAAGGAAAAAGAAGGGGAAATCATAGAAGTCTCTGTCAGTTTGGGAAAACCAGTGGACACTGGAAGCTTTATACCTTTGTAGTAAGAACTGCTGAAACATCCCCATAATGAATCAAAATAATGAACATAATAATCTCACTAGTTTACTCTAAACTAGTTGAAATCTAAAAAGTTGTAAAATTTCAATTTTTCTTAACTGCTTTAGAACAAATTATCTTTATTAAACAGCCAATAAAAGAAATGTGGAACTGAACCAGGTTACTATTATTTGAGATTTAAGAAAAACACGTTAGGCATAAGGAGAATGGAAGTTACAAAGGAGAAAAAAATTGGCCAGC